ACACACACACACACACACACACACACACACACACACACACACACACACACACACACACACACACACCACACACACACACACACACACGTACACGTACACAAACACACACACGTACACGTACACAAACACACACCAACACGTACACAAACACACACACACACACGTACACAAACATACACACACGTACACAAACAAAGAATAGTAACTGCAGTATGTTCATGAACGTTATTATTTTAAAAAATGATTCAAAATGAGCGCACACACGAACTAATTAAGCCAAAAGTATCACACAAACACAAACCTTTTAATAAATAATAATGTGTGTCTAATATTTGCTGGACACATTTTATATGAATTTAATAAGATAAAGTTAAAGAAAAACCAAATGTTAGAGAGAATGATGAACCACGTTGAAAAAGGTCAAATCTAAAGTCTTCAAATGATAAAACGTAAAAAATTATTTTTCTTCATTTACACAAAAAGAAAAAGTTGAATGAAAAATTACATATTAATAGGTTACAAGTAGTATCACGTGACTCTTGGATTAAAAGTGGAGATTGTAGATTTCGAAGTGAGCAATTGGTGTGCGGCGCTGTCCATCTCCTCTTCGGTCAGTCCGATGGCTTCCGATATTTCGTTCTGCAGGTAGCGGGCGTCCACGAAGTTTTGCAGACCTTCCGAATGGATGACCTGGTTGGAAGAAGGAATGCAAATGGAAATGGTGCGGTAGTAATGCAGGTGAATGACTTTTGTTTAAAGTTTATATGATGCCTCAAGTGTGTAGGTAGGTAGTAGGTAGGTAGCTATGTTGTTATTTATTGGCTTGATAACATTAGAGTTATCATTTGCGTGTTTAAATATTAATCTTTTAAGTAATGAGGCGCATTTCATGAATTTGTGTTAGAATAATTTATTGTTTTGCATTACCATGCCGACAAGACTCTCTGCACTTCCTTTGAACTTATCTCTTCCTCTTTGCTGATAGATGTCGTTTGACACAGGAAGGTAGTTGTTGACGTTGTAATGAGGCTGTAGTTGTTGCTGTTGTTGCTGCCGTGGTTGTTGTTGTTGTAAGTGTTGCTGAGATCGAAAATGTTCTGGCATCATTTGTTTGTTTCGCTTTCTCAAAAGATCAGGCGACAACATTAATGGCCGGCCTTATGTTCAGAAAGTATGTGAGTAAATAATATTATGATGTTGTTTTAATCTCTACAGAAAAACATATCGATGCAAAATTATTTTTAAAACACTGTGCTTCATCAGAAAAGCGACATACAATCACAGGCACTGAACTTACTGGGGGTCTTGTACGTGGATGTGGGCAGGACAGGCTGTGTTGGGATCTGATAGTCTATCGGTCGTTTCATCACTTCTTTCGACATGTTCTGCAAAAGTTCAACATATTTCGTTTCAATGTTTGATCGATTGATTAAATTATCTAGACAACAACAACAACAACAACATCATTTTCATAAGGGAAGATTTAAATTAATAATCTGAGTTTTTTGTGATGAGCGTGAAAATTTGATAGTTTTTGCGTTCAAAAAATGTTTCTTTCACAACGAGCTTCAAAGTTTTGCTCATAAATTTGATGAACGACTGCTTGAAATAAATATTTATTTATTCAATGAAATAAAACTAGCAAGCATCAAATGACTTGAGCCTGATTGAGATCTCGCGGTGATGCGCCAGGCCTGCTAACCAGTGGACTCTCGGCACTGTCCTGCTTGTGTAGACATCCGAGCAGACCGGAAAGACGTGGAGAAGATTTTTTAAAGCGGCTGTTTGCGGTTGTCGTTAGCGGGAATGGTACGTCGTCGTCTTCCTCGGTTGGAGTGCTTTGTGAATTTTATCAAATTTATTTGGTCTACTTCTTGAATGTAGCTCAAATTTTAACAATCAATGTATAAAAGTAATTGAGGAATTAAACGTACTTAGGCGGCAGTTGTTTCCACTGTTGGGTGGCGAGCAACATTTCCTGATCGTCCTCCTCACTGGCGAATATGCCAGGCCCACGTTGCATGCTTGCACCGGGTTCGATTCTCAGCGGTTGACTCACTCTATCGATGTTGCGTGGTTGCTGCTGCTGTTGGAACATGTGCTGGTTGCGTTGCTGGTTGTACAGATCAGCGTTCCTGCTGATGTTTGGATTGCTTCCTCGTTGCGGAGGCGAGGATGTTGTTCGCGCTGATACGGGCACGATTGGATTCTCATTCACGGTTGGACTGTTGTCACTGTGAATGTTGGACATTTGTGCTGCTAATTAAATTTATTTTTAATCTTTGAACAATTAAATATTAAATTGAATTGCAACATCGTAACAACTCCATACGTGTGTTAATATACATTGCCTGACCTTTCGCTGTTATCGTTGTTGTTGTTGTTGTTTGTGTTTGCGTTGTACTTGTCAGTTGAATATTCCAGGCGGCTAGGCAACAATTTTGGACCATTTGGCAGACTAAATGGATTCTTATTGGCTGCTGGTTGGAGGTTGCGATTGAGAGATATTGTGCCAAACAATGCGTGGTTTCTCTGTACAAATAAGATTACCACGTTTTGCTAAATAATGGCGTTCACAACATAAAAATACTTAATTACACATTCACCTAATAAAATGAACGCGTGTTAGATTGGAGCTGTCAACTCAAAAGCATGCGCCCGCATATGCGTTTAATAGCGTTAGATTGTAAAAACTATTGAAAACAGGATTTTTAAAAATTCTATACAAACTCTGTGCATTGGTTCTTCAGCTTCCTTGTCCAAGACATCTTCTTCCTCCAGGTTGCCTGATATTGCTCTCCTTATTTCAGGACCCAGATCATGCACCGCTCTCAGGCCAGCCTAGATTTCATAATACCATGATGAATGTTTATCTCGCTATTTTCATTAAAGATTTGAATAAATATTTCGATGACATTAAAGTGATGAATGAATTAGTATACTACCTGGAGAACGTTGGTGTGCGAATGACCAAGCTGCTTCCTCTTCGCCATCATCTCCTTCCGTTTTTTGAAGCGCCGGAAGTAATCCTGAATGAGGAAGGTGGCGTAGAACTTGCCGACTGTGATCTCATCGTCACCTACGAGTCATTTACAAGAGAGATATTCATCCAAGTAACAGTACATGCATCTACGTATTAATCTTATTTCGGTAATAACGTTCAGCTTATCATTTATAAATTATCATGAATATCTTAAAAAGTAGCATGTTCCTGTATGTAAGAGTTGAAGAATTATGTAACATTTTGAAAAAAAAGAAAGCAGACCTGCGGGTGGAACAACTTGATCAAGCAGCTTCGGCGAGGTTCTCTTCCAAATCTTCTTTATAACTTCTCGCAACTCTTCATTGGCCTGATCAATGTTGCCTGATGTGGCACGCCGCAGCAACAACGAAGTGAGTGATTTTTAGAAAAATGTTGAAAAGTAATATTTTATGAATTTCTGCATTTTCAACTATCGGTATTAAAATTTAAAATTTATAATAGCAGTTAATATTTTATGAATATAATTCTACAATTTTCAACTATCAGTATAAAATTTCAATTTTGATCTAAAAAAATAATTAAAAATGTTTAATAGCAGTAACTTGTTTTCAAAAAAATTTGACAAATGTGACTAACTGACCTTCGGTTTTGATTTTGAGAGAAGTTCTGACGAGGGCGAACAAAGTAGCGTTGAACATGACCGTGTGGTCCTGACTGTTCAGAGGCATGTTCATCGATACCAACCTCTGTTCAATATTCAGTGATGTATTCATTCTCAATTCATCGTGTTCGTACATCACTAAATAACAATATCAATAAAAACTGAAACTAAAGGAAAAAGAAGATAACCAGTTTTTTTAAATTTGAATCAAAACTGTTTAAAACATTTTTGGCATTGAATATGATAATAACCTACGTACCTTGCAAGCAATTCTGTGTGGACACAACTTGCCAAATCCCAGAGGTGGAGATATCTTTCTAAGCAGCTGAACCACGTCCAGATGTTTTATTCTCCCGCTGATGAATTGAGCATCCAGTCACAAAATAAATATTGAAAATAATTATTAACATTAAAAAAATTAAAAAAAAATGATTGTATACTTTGAAAACTGTTTATATGAGAAAGTGTTGGCACAGTGGCAAAGTTATGATGAAACATGAAACTTTAACAAACCTGGCATCTGGGTCGTATTCAGACCACTGGCGGACAAATTCATCGAGATGGTGTGGGCCGAGAATGGACCAATCACGTGTCAGATAATCAAAGTTGTCCATGATGACAGCCAGGAACAAGTTCAATATCTGTAGTCGATGACGAATTAAGCAAATCCATTAATTGAATCCATTAATTAATTGAAAATTAATTTCAGAATATTGGAAGGTATTAAGCAGCAAATTTACAATGCAGAAAACTCTATTGATAAAAAAATGTAAAAATCTAATATTCATTTTCATTTAAAAATTTTTTAAAAATGTAAACACCAATGTCGTTTTGTAAAAATGATAAATCATAATGGGCATCTACTACGAAAAATTTTAAAGAAATTAATGAACAGATGTTTTCAAATCAACTAGCCAGAAACGAGCAAATGATGTAGAACGAGATGAAGAAGGACATGGCAATGAGCGAGCTACCGCACAACTTATCGGCGTCATCAGAGTTTTTGTCACATTTGACGGTTGGTTTGTCGGAGCAGGACATCATGATGTCCTGCCAGGACTCACCAGTGGCCGATCTGAATAGGACCATAAGAGCGGCTGGGAAAGTTTGAAAGTTGTTGTTGTGGTTGATTGTCGAGTCTTCGTTGTCTGTCGCTATCTTTCCCATTAACTGTAGCATATTTTTGTTTAAAATTATCCGAGATGAATATAAACTCATTGAAATAGATTTAAGTTGAAAGTGAATTACAACCTGCATGCCGACCACGGCATACACGAAGAAGAGCATGACGATCAGTAGGAATACGTAAGGTAGTGCCTGTCGTTGTGTGAGGATTTGCCAACTAGTGCCAATTATGAAACTATCAATCATTCAGATGATAACCAATTCTACATTTTTGTCCGCTTTTTCCATAACGTATAAAAACAAGTTTATGTAAAAAATTTAGCTACGTTGAATGTGTATCGGATTTTTATATGAGTGGAAAATAAGAGTTGGGATATTTTTAGTTCAATACGAGGCATGCATTTAAAATTATTATGATGTCACCGATTTCAAATATTATGTCACAAATTTTGAATATTATGTCACATATGTCACAAGTTCATATTTAAAAGTTTTATTTGATTATAAGCAATTTTTTAATACCTGAAATGATTTGATGAAAGTCCAGAGTAGCGTTCGAATGCCCTCCCCTCTACTCAGCAACTTCACCAGCCTCATGACACGGAACAGTCTGAAGAAACTAATACTGATTATGTTCTGGTCGGGCTGCAAAGATGTCAAATGGAAAAACATTTAATACTTAAAGCTAGATAACATATGAAACAAAATAACATGATAGGAGATCCAATGAAATAATTAAATTATTATCCTACATAAAATGTTAAATATTAGTTGAATCAATTATTACAAAAATGTTATTTATTTGCTAAGCAACAACGTTGAAACAAACCAAAATCTTTCCTATGGTTATATCGACAATGCTGCCGACAACGATGATGAAATCAATGGTGTTCCAAGGATCTCCAAAGTAATTCTTTCAAATTTGTGAACAACAAACATCATATTTTTTAAATAAAAATTTATTTTTACACTGATCATTGCTTAGTTTAATTTAAAAAAAATGTAAATTGCTTACTTTAATTCTGAATGCAAATAATTTGAGGATGAACTCCAGCGCAAAAGCCCCAGTGAAGACCATGTTAAGGACGTCAAGAACGAACTGATATTCCTTCGGCGAATCGTCGTACTGTTTGGAGAGAGAAGAAAATACAAATTTCAACGGCAACATAAGTCATTGCAAACAATTAAAAAATTTTAAATGATGCTGTGTTGTCAATAAATCTAGCAAGAAACGAACTTTCATGGCCAGAGTGATAGTGTTGAGGAGGATGAGGATGAAGATAAAATATTCAAATGGTTGTGAAGTGACGATCCACCAGATCTTATGCTGCATCTTATCCTTCGGGATGTATCGGCGTTGAGCTCTTGCTTTCAATGCGAACTCGATGCATTTCCTCTGTTGTGTGCAGGTAGGTGTCCAATTGTGAAACACGCAGATGTTGAAGTATTCATCAGTGGAACAAAATTTTTTTTAAATGTCGTGAAACATCAGCGAGCATTTTATAATAAATCAAGTAAAGTTTTAAATTAAGAGCACACGAAGACCTGATTCTTATCAAGTTCACAGTTTTTGTACTCCTGTTCGCCTTCTTTCTGGAACGTGACGATGACGAAACCGACAAATATGTTGACCATGAAGAATGCGATAACGATGATGTAGGTTATGAAGAAGACTGCCACGAAGGGCCTGGCCATCTGGATCGGACCATGGTCTTCACTTACCGAATCAATTCCTTTTATCAGCAAGCTGTTCAGTTGTGTCAATAGCACAATATTGCTCATGTAGAAATTATTTATTGAAACTTTTATTATAAAAAATCATTTGAAAAAAGTTCTACACATGCTCTTTTTGTTCCCAAATAAGTTTTTTTAACTGAAAACTTTTGAAAATGTTTCAAATATATTTACATTTTGTTGTTGAAAGACTTTTTAAATTTTAACATATCTCATTTAGATATCCTTGTTGTTAGAATATGTACATTTTATATCAAATTGCAACATAAAACATCACTTCATATCACATCCAACAACGAAACAACGCGCAACTTCGCATTGAAACCTCTCACAAAACAAAACATCAGGCCAACGACAATACGTCATCTCATACAGCAAAAACCTTTTTCTTCGACCCCACACCACCCAACACCACGTACTTGGGCCATCCTTCAAATGTAGCCACAGTGAATAAGGTCAACATCCCCTTGCTGACGTCGTCAAAATTGAACTCATTATTTTTCCATTTTCTCGGTTCTATGGAGGCACGGTCGTCTGAATCAATGTCAATGAATTCACCTCTGTCAGGAAATGTTTCCAAAGTTAATACTCCTTAATGAAACTATCTAATAAAATCGTTTATAATTTTATTTACTTATCATTATGTGAATTATAAAAAAGTTTACTTGACACATAATAATAGTAATTGATTTTCATAATTTAAAAAAAAATTTATTGAAGACGTTTGAAATATAAATGAAATTTATTTCAATATAGAAAGAGATGAAACTAACTGGCATTCCACCTCAGTGAGTTTTGTTGGATCAGTGCATGCGTAGAAAGTGCCCTGTTGTTAGTTGTTGTTTGTATTAGTTGTTAGTGGTTGTTGTATATTTTTGTTGTTTGTTGCTGTTGTACGTTTTTATTGTTGTTGGTTGTTTAAATGACTGTTGGCATTTTTTTTCCATTATTGCTCATTTCAAACTCTTTTTACCAAAAAAACATGAGCAGTAACAATGTATGAAAAGTTAAAATTGTACGTCAAAAATTGATCATCAAGCGATAAATTAGGCTGCGGAAAACATTTTCAAACTAAAAGTTAGAAAATGAAATGTAAAAATAAGTCGTAAAAATTTAAATGATCATTTTCAATGATAAAAAATACAAAAAGTATCATTATGGACTTTGAAGAGTTGAACTCCGATGACGGCAAACATGAACTCGAGAAGGAAAGTGACCAACATTATGTTGTAAATGGTTTTGATGGCCACTATGACGCACTGGAGGACTCTCTAGATTTCAAATCAAGTTTGATGTTTTGTTAAATTTTATTATTACGAATAGATTATTTGATTCAATTAAATATGAAAATTATTCAGTGAATTATAGAAAAAATGATGATTATGTACGATTTTTTCATTCTACACAACTCAACTGAGAGGTGAAAAATTTTACAAATAAAGAATAATCTAAAACGACTAACTTTTAATCCCTTGGCTCTGTTGATGGCTCTCAGTGGCCTCAACACTCTCAACACCCTCAAAATTTTAACCACACCCATCTTCTCGTTGCTGGCAGGTCAAAGGTCAATAATATCAAACATTTATTATAAATTATTTTCGCCAGGAATAAAAAAATTATTTCTCTTAATACAATTTTCATGAACAGGCGTTCTAGTATTGATTATAATATTTCCTTTTTTGAACAACTAATAAAGTTTAGTAGATAAAAATAAATAAGTCAATTGAATAAACTAAATCTAACATTTGAAAGTTTAAAATACTTGGATGTAATGAAATAAAAAGTGAATAAAACACACGAATTTTATAAACTCTTTACATCTCAAATATACTTTAATTCAATGTGAAGATTTTAAAAAGACAAACGACGTCTGACTCGATAGCGAATGACATGAGGGCGAACGTTACGACCAAAGCGTCAAGAATGTTGAAGAGACTCCTACAAAAACTTCCTTTGTGTAGAATGAACCCGTACGACACCAACTGCATAGGAGTTATTGCCAAGGTAATAATGATAAAAATAATATAAATATAATAACAATAATAATATAAACAATAATTATTTTTATTAAATTTTAATATTAATTTAAAAAACTATATTTTTTTAAAGTTTCGTATGAATTGTAGCTACGTTCAAACGATGTATTTTTATATTTACATGTTTGTGAGAAACTTGTCAGCTTATGAATCAAACAGGCGTTTTGTTACATCTATGAAAACACCTTATTATGTTGTTTGAAGTTTTTTTTAGAAGTACTTGAATGAATGCACAAACCTTTAATAGCAATTCGATGGTGAACACCGTTGTGAAGAAATACTCCATATACTTTAGCACCTATTGTGCAAAATGCAGTAGAACTATCAGTTTACAGACACATGAAAAAGTTTAATTGTAAGTTTAACTGCCTTTGATAAAACTGCGTTATAAAAATCATAGAAATTTATTGATTTATTAAAATTTAAAAATAGTAAACTTATAAATTATAAATAAATATAATTGATTGAATTTAAGTTTTATATAAAAAAAAACAATAAACAAAACATTCTCTGTAAGAACTCTTCTAATAAATTGTTCAATTCAAAAACGTTCAATGTTGCTTTACAAACAGAACACATGTGATATTAAAAATATTAATAACTCTTCTGCCTATGCTGATAATGAATGTGTAAATATAAAAACTAAAAAACACATACATGAATGTGTAAATATGTAAACTAAAAAACACAATCTGATAATAATAATAATAATAGTGATGAAAATAAGAAAAAGAAGAAAAATAATCTCAATAGAGAGGGCAGGTAGGTTGAATAGAAACCCACCAAATTTCTGTACGACTTAGAAACGACGGGGTCCTCGCAGGCCAGTGTCACACTGCTAGCAACAATGCAGCCCAATATGAAGTTACACCACTTGGAATGCGTGCATATGTGATGGCAGAACACTCGGAATCTGATGAATATCAATTTCAAATTCATCATATCAAAGTTCACTCGTTAGTTTTTTGAAAAAATTGTTTCCTGTGTGCTATATTGTGTAAATTTATTAAAATAGATTTGTAAAAATACTTTAAATTTACTTGTTGGTTTCACTGAAGATGAAGAAAGAGCTGGCGGGCGGAATAGGTTTGACCTTGGATTTGATGTTCGCCATCCTCGTCGGTCGCATCCCTATCTTTGGCTTCTCTTCCTCTTCTTCTATTTCCTCTTCCAAATCATCTTGCTCCAAATTTTCTACATTTTAAGTAATTATTTTTTGTCAAGTTTGTATTTTAAATCGCTTGTTCATCGGTTTTTTCTTAAATAGAACTGACTTCGACAAAATATTTTCAAACTTTTTACCAACGAACAACTCATGTTATTGTTCAGTCACAACATTTTTAAAACTTCAGAACATATAATTGATGTTTACATTCAAAACAAATAAAAAGTTGTTAAGAAATGTGAGCATGAAAACTGCTGATGAATGTAAGTGAGGAGTTCTAACCATCCCTTGGCTCGCTCAGTGAATCCATTGTGATCGTCACGTTCAAACTGAAACGATAATAATCAATATCTGTTTATTGAAAATGTTATGCAACGAAATACAACTTTTAAAAGTGAAGTCGAAAGTGCTTATATAAAACAACAAAGTTTGGGCCTAAAAAATGAATTTAATGTTAATAATACCAAATTGACGTAAATTGCTAATCAGCTACATTTTTTTCAGATGGAAAGATGATATGCATCAATTAGCAGCGCTCGTGATTACGATGTTCTTGTAAGAATTAAAACACTGTTCAACATGATACAACATGACGTTACGAATGAACAAGACAAACGAGACATCAAACAATATTTCTATCATACTCGTTTAGTTTCATTTCTGTGTCATTCTTTGCAAGGGAGTTTTGTTCCTAGTAAAATTGATTAATAATTCAAAAATTCAAAATAAATCAAATATTAAATAAATTGGTATAATTTGCTACTTGATCTAACAATGATTTCAACAACCTCTTCTACCAACCAACCATCGTAGGCTTACAAGCAAACTGCTAACCGACCGCGCAACTTACGAGCCGACCGACTAACCAGCAAACTGACAAACAACTGATGTACTAGCCGGCCAGCCAATCAGCCAGTCAATCTATTAACCAACTAACTTTATTAGCAGTTTCATCGCCAGTTTCAACCGTCTTCTCAACGATGACCACTTCAGCCCCATCGGCACCCTCCTCACCGCCACCGCCACCGTTACCTGCCTCTCCGCCATTTTCTTCACCACCTCCACCACCACCTTCTTCCTCTTCGTCGTCACCATCGGCCAAGTTGTCCACGGCGATAGCCAAGAAGACATTTAGTAGAATGTCTGATCACGTGTCACGAGGTCATAAAGGTTAAACAATCGATCGATGTCATTGTCGATCAGGGTGATTTGATTGGACCGACGTTGGTTGATAAGTTAAGAAGGCAAATGGGTTGTTAGGTTTTGTTTAATTAATCTGCATCAACTGCTTAAATTTCACGTTAAATATCTAAAAAAAATGCCATATCAACATATAGTTTGTATCTAGCAAATTTCAATTTGTGCTGTATTTTATATCATTAACAACAGTTAGAAACTTAGTAAAACAATATCAATGTCAAATGTAAAGTCGAAGACACAAGTACAAAAGATAAAGACAATAACAACATTCAAAGGCACAAACTTTCAGCAATTATAAATTGATATCGGAGGAGCAAATATTGACCCAGCATTTTAAGATCCCCTTACCTAACCAAATTTATCACATCTGCAGCATCAAACAAACAGTCAACAACCAGCGGAAAGAAATTCATATTATCTGCTAGCAAAATTAATTGCACAGGAACAACATTGAAACAACAACAAACAACATCAAACAGTTCATTAACACTCAATCTAGAGCAAATAAAATCAAACAACACGCTTATCGTGCCATCACTGCAACAGATATTGATAGAGATATTGGACAGAAATGACCGGCCGTCTCAACTGACTGACGACGCAAAAGGATACAGTTGCCGCAGATGAAGAGGATGACAAAATAGATGCACGCGAATGCTCCGTACTTCGTCATGCCCCCTGAAGCTCCGATGCCGATGTACATCACTTCGTTCCAATCTTCGCCCGTTAATATCTTAGTGTATGTTGGTTTTTATTTCAAATGAAAATTTATTAATTTTACAAATTGGGAAAAAAATTTGAGTTTTATGAGAATCACAAGCTAAAAAACACGTTGAACCCACCTGGAATACAGTCAGCAGTGCTTCATAAAAGGAATCGAAGTTGCTTCGTGGTTTCTCCGCTTCTCCTTCGCTGAACTTTCCTCCAAACAACTGCATACCTGGTTATTTTTTTAAGTTTTTGAGTCACTTGAAAGTTTCAAAATAACAAATGGCTAATTATTAAAATAATATAAATTGAAGTTGTTAATTATTTATGAATCGATGTAAAGTTACCAAGCAGTGCAAATATGACGATGAATAAGAAGAGGAGAAGCAATAAGCTGGCGATCGATCTCATACTGTTCAGCAGAGAGGCCACCAACACTCGCAACGACTTCCAATACCTTCAGTTGCAAACATTTTATTTCTCACTTAATTTCTTTATCGGGACAAAAAAATTAAAAATGAACACTATTAGTCAGTCATTTTTGTTACCTCTATATTTTCATAACTTGATCAAACAAAAACTTTTCATATTGATATTTTCTACATCTAAAAAATATTATACTACAACATAATTTTAATTAAAAAAGAAGAGCGGCGTTAGAAGTTGATGGAAAAAAATTTATAGAAAACCAACCTGGTAACTTTGAAAACCCTGAGCAGCCTGGCGCACCTGAGCACACTGATGCCGAGCGGTGCCATGAGGTTCATGTGGGTCAGCACTGCCTCTATGATGCTGCAGACCACCACGAAACTATCGAACCGATTGAAAAGTGACCGGAAATAGATTTGAAAGCCGACACTGTACATCTTAACAAACATCTCAATCGTGAAAAGACCAATGAAGAACATGTTGCTTATATCTGAGGAATTAATGCATTTAAATATAATTTCTATTGAAGATATTCAAAGAATAACTGACGAAAGTATAACAAACAATTAAGAAGAGTGAATATGAACAGCAATTCATTTTAAAATAAGTTATGTAAATGTCAAACAATGTATCAAAAAAAGTCTAAGACCCTGCAGTTGGTCCAGCCAAGGCGGTTGTCTGTAGTGCTCTGTAGCCAGGATGCACGTGTTTAGGAAGACCAGTATAATGATCAGCCAGTAGAACCATTGAGATTTCACCGCCCTCCTCACTGCCTTCTTACATCTCTTGTTCAACTTGAATATTCGATGTCTGTTTTGCATTTGTGATGTAAGTTGTGATCAGTTTATAGACTTTTTTTAAATTTTTATTCACTATTAAACTATTAAAATAACTGTTTAAAAAGGTAGAAAAAATTATATTGAGACATGCCAAATATTTTATAATTTAAGGAATTTTCAAGTAAATATGCGAATTCGTTCATAAAAACTTTAACTGTAGGTTGATAAAATCCAACTCCATTATGATGAAAATATCAAAATGAACACAATTTTATGGCAAAAAATGAAGAGACAAAATGCAAGGAAGCCAAAGAACGTAACATAACGGACTTTCTGATGGCCCACCATGAGTGCATCACTTCTTCATCTTCGCCATCTTCCGCTCCACCCTCATCCTCTTAAAAATTGAAGATACATTTGCGATGACGGCAACATCAGCAACATCAGCAACATCAGCAACATCAGCAACATCAGCATCATCAGCAACAATACCAACAAACTCACATACAACAAAAGTTGAACACCATAGATGGCAGAAAACATAAATGGCACATTTCTCAAAATAATAATTAGAAAATTTTGAATAAAATTAATTTAGAATATAAAAGTTGGATGAAAAGCATTAAAACACCGACATTCATTTCAGCATCGTTATATTTCTTAGAGTTTGTTTGCAGTAACATTAATAACATTACGACACACAATATACAAGAATGTTGTCTAAACGTAAACCGACTGACTCGTCAGCGAAAAAAAAACTTCCGCCTTCCATAACATTAAAAACAATAACAACATCCTTCAATAAATAAACAAAGAAAATAAAAAATATCATCAACCAAAAAGGTACAACAAGACCACCACCATCGACAATAACAACAACATTAACAACAACAAAAACATCAATAACGACAACAACACTACCAACATCAACTATGACACCGATAACAACATCAAAAACTATGACATCAACGTCAACAACAACAACACAACAAACAACTTCCATAACCGACCTGCACCTTCTCCTTGGTCAGCACTTTTCTCTCCGTCAACCTCTAAATCCTCTAAATATGAATCATGATCAATTAAGTTCAAAATAAAAAAAGACAACAACGATACTGATGTTGACCACATAATTTTTGATAACACTAAAAATGTAAAAATAACAATGAGAAGCTTTATAATAACTATTATATCAAAAACCACTGTTATTCAAGAACATTAAAATGTATTTTCATCAATAAATATTCATTTAATTAATTTGTTTATTCAATAAAAAAATCATTTCAACAAAATATATTTTCGAGGTGATCTTTTTCTGTTTTCTTGCGTCTCAATTTGTTTAAAATACACACATTCAAACATGTTTTTTAGCAGATCTTGTTATAAATGATAGAAATATTAACAATAAAAAAACCAAAAAAAAATGAAATAATGAATTTGCTATGAAAAAAGAATATTTAAAGAAATATATGACAGCACCCACTTACATATATATATATTTACATATTATGCATATTATCAGCATAGCAAAATTCATTTGAAAAAGCTATTTGCAATCAGCAGTGACATTAAGATTTAAATATGTATAATAATGAATATGCGAAACAGAAAGTTATTCAAATAGCGACAGACTGAAACATGAAACGCATCAACCAACAGCACGTTGTAATCTTTGAAAAAACATCAAAATGATTGATGTCAGGAAGGAAGAAAGATGTCAACCATAATTACATTAACAAAACGTACATTGGCGAAACTTACATTAACTTAGTAAATCTGAAACATAACAACATTTATAAAAATTAGTTTTAGCTTAAGTACTGACTATAATAATATTGTAAGAACAACAACAACAACAACAAACAAGCAACAACAACGTAAACTGCAAAAATAGAATTCACATTAATTTAACTATTGACAACTACAGATACGACATTAACATGAACAACAATAATTTCAGCAACTATAACGTTTTCAAACACAACAACAACACAACAGTTCAACAACAATACAACACACCTGCATGCGTGATCCATTCCAGGTAACCCTTAAAATCGCTGTTGAATTGTTTCTGATCTCTCAACTTTTTGAAATCACCACGACTCTTCGCTTTCTCTCTCTCTTTGGAAAATTCACTGAAGAAATAAGTTCAAGGCTTGAAGATTATACCCTCTATTGCTGCAACAACTCAAACACGCAACACACAACACACCAACACGCAGTTACACACACATATATACACAACACACAAATACGCAGTTACACACGCACACACAGTCACAACACAAATAGCGCAGGGGAATACGTACAATATCCGCGCATTAACCACTTTTTTGCGAATGTCAGTCGGAGAGGTTGTACACATTAAACGTACAATAACTTTTTTAAAGTTTTTATATAAAAATCGAAAAAAATGTAGAAAAACTTTGTGAAAATGGAAAAGTGGATAGAAAGATAGTGAAGTTACCCGCTGAGAACACCGAGTACAAGGTTGAGGACGAAGAATGAGCCGAGAATGATAAGGCTGACGAAATAAATCCATGGATACCACTTGCCCACAGAATCGTTCACCTGTGTATGTGTGTGTGTGTGTATGTGTGTATGTTGTGTGTACGTGTGTTGTGTCTGTGCGTGTGTGTGTGTGATTATCTTTTTCTTGCGTTTGATAATTTGTCTCTTGTTTTGTTTTTTCGTTCTGCTTGTTTATTGTATTAACTTGATTCGTGTTGTTCTGCGGTTTGTGCTATGAAGACATAGCTGGAAAACATAACTGGGTTTACGTATGTGTTGATTTTACAAACATTTAACACATTATAGATGGTTCATTTGTCGTTTTACAGCTGTTAAGTTTATTCCATTTAATTCCAATTTACATATAATCGAGATAGATCTATGTTTGCACAGCGTGTAATATTAACCGTTAAGAAGGTTTATTCGAATTCGTAATCGTTAAAACATTGCTCTAAAAAGGTGCTCACAAAAATTCAGTTATATAAGCTACAAATTAAGACATACAAAAATTTGTATAAGTACTTATGAACAGTTAAACACACACACGGATTATGTTAGCAAATACGTACACAAATGCATACAAACTTACATGAAACATACATAAGTCCACACAAACATTGATGCAAACATACATTCAGTTACACGTATCAACGTACAGGTATTCATAGCGTTGAACGTACACCCTAACAAAAATGTTTGTAAACATGTGTTGTTATTAGCAAGTATATGGATATACAAAACTTGAAGGTTATGATCAAAACATTTTTAAAACAATATCACCACCATCACCACCATCATCATCATCATCATCATAATCATCACCATCATCATCATCCTCGTATCATTGTTGCTTCTAGACCATCATCAATGTCATCTCATCGTTTTGGTGATAATTTCTTTTATCAATTCTAACTCTATTAATATTGTTATTGTAGAAATCTGCGTCATGAAGTCATTGCAAGGAATGTAAACATCGTTATCACCAATCACCAATATAATAATATTAAAAAAAATTTAAGCGGAGCCATTTATTGGAAAGATTCGGAAAATCTAAAAGTTAACCAAGTAAAGTGTTGAAAGAGAAGAAAATGCATAGACAGTCCAGAGATCCGAGCAGTAGATTTGACATTTAAACCAATAATTATTTGTAAAATAAAGGGGTAAATTTGTCAAAAATTGTAAAATTGAATTGATTACCTAATCAACAATTAAGATGTTTGTTCAGTTGTCTATTTTGTTTTTTTCTAGCTAAAAAAATAACTTGATGTCTTGATTACAAAATTCAAAATAAACATTTGCTGCATTAAAAGCACGTCTTCAAAAAACTAAAATTAAAAGTTTAAAGAATTCAAATATAAAACGAATAAGCAAGCAAGCATTTGGTTGTTGTGTTTCGTGGCGAGACGACGCGCAGTTGAGTTGAAAGTTGCACCTGCCACGCCATCAAACAGCGACAAGCAGCCAGCGGGACACGCGCGCACCTTCAGCATAAATTAATACAAAAGTTTGACGATCAATATTTTCAAAATGAAACAAATTTTAAAATAAAGAACTTTTCAACATAATTATAAATACCTATTGAAATATTATTTTTAAAACAACATAAAGTACAGAGGCTTGTTAGTAATGTTAAGGCGTGTATAACTGTATTTGAATGCGAGATGTAACACAACTTACATACACGATCGTATTCAATCAATAAACTAATCAATGGCTGCACGAACGCAGACTAACTTATGTTATGCAGATATGTACAGCTCTTCAGCGTACGATCTTTCAAATTCAATTTGTATTTTATTTTTAATATTGAAAATTTATAGCTGAACGCGCGTGCGTGCTTAAAATTTATGTAAATATCAATAAAAATAACAATTATTGAAATAAATTGAAAATTAAAAAATTTTTATTCATTAATGTTTTTTCTTTAGCTATTTTTTCGAATGGGCTAACAATGGGCAATATTTTTTTTATCAAAAGAAAATGTTTCAACTAGAACATACTTGCATATTGTACAAGTATTAGCTGAACTTACAAGAAGACACCTGCAAAAGATGCTAAACGTGAATGGGAAGAGGATGGATGGTTGACTGGATGAGATGAGTTCATCCGTCATCTTGCCATGTAAATAATTCATTGTCTTGCTTTTATTTCATCCCGCTAAATTTTTCTTTTCCTTCAGCAGTGATTAAAAATGTGCAACGCAGAGTGTTTCACGCTCAAAACAAAATTCTATGATTCACGCCTTGTTTTATTCTTTCTATTTTTGTTGTTGCTAACAAACCTTACAGTTCGATTAGCATCACAAATATTTCGCTAATGTACAAGCTTATCTCTGGCATTAATACAAGTTATTCTACATATTTATAAAAAAATGTCTCAGGTGTAGAATATAACAAGCTGCATAACTTATTTTACACCGACCAAATTACAATTTGAAAACTTTCTGGATGAATTTATGAACCATTAATTGTTATCTAGGAAAAGTTTTTACGATTTGTTGTTAATTTAACGTTTATAATACAATAAACATGTGAACGACACTATTGCTCTTTTAAATCAAGTTTTACAATTTTTTTTAAAAACAAAAATCGGCAAAGTTTCAATTGAAATAGCAGATGTTATTTAAATAGCAGATTGGCGTATGTATGAAGCTCTCGTTCGGATTAGTACAGCCAGACAGCATCCATGCATACATTCGATCTAAAACCCTTCCTGCGATCTAACGATGAAAATATTTTCTTCTCGGTTTAAATGCGACGTTAAAACACGCAAACATAATTGAATTTTTTATTAAAATTAATTTTATTCGAACGACTGTTAATTTATACATGCGTCCATTTTATCTTGGAAAGAGATGAATAAATGAAACTGAAAATGAAAAAAGCGAAATTAGGATCATTCCAGTCCAACAAGCTTTCTTTGTGCCATACAGGAAGTTTGCTAAAGTTGAAAGACTATCCCGACTATTTATTTTTTTAGTGCCAAAGTACACGTCTTTTGAATATAAATGTGAGCGTCCAGACTTTTATAGCAGCTTAGTTACCGTTGTCATCTTCACTTCAACATAGTTTATAAATTTTCATTTAAAATAATTCATTTCACAAAATTGTTGCATCTTTCATCCAGTGTTTATTTTTTTACGCACCTCGTTTATTTTCCGCTTTCCAAACGAACAGAATGTTCTTATTCTATATGCTAAAACTAATATAAACCAAACGTACATCACATTAAGTCAGAAACCGGAATAAAGACAATATTAAAAACACACCTCTAAATTACAAAGAACAAACCATAATATTATAATGAAACAAAAAAAACTAAATTAATACAAAAATAACGTGCTACAAAAATGATCCAGCCCATTTATTGTAAAAACACACACACACGAACAAACTGCACAAACATATAAAGGAAAAACACACTTTGTAACCATCTTAACACATGTGAATTTACATGTTATAACAGCCAACATGTGAACGAATGAACTTGGAGCATTTAACGTTGAAATTAAATTTTATTCTTATTTGGCATGAAAAGAAAAAAGTGCCGATTGTAATGTGGAAAAAATTGCAATTAAGTATAATCAAGTATGAAGTTGTTTAGTCTTGTCTCTATACTGGCTGAGATTTTATTGCTTGTATGTACAATTCAAAATGTTAAGTTTTACACCTTTTTAATTTAGGATGAAATGTTTCCACTTTCGAAAATATTTTTTAAACTTTTGATAAAAATTAAACACTAACAGATACTTGTACTTGATAGTTTTTTTTACCTTTGCATTGTATCTAGATATTTTAGTTTTGAGTTTGAATTTTTGTTAAATTGCTGTGCCAGACTGTCAATGGTTATAAATACAACCTTTATTGCCTAAATTATTACCTTTATTTTGTGGTTAATGTCGTTATTGTTGTTATTCATGTTGTTAATATTTATTTAACAAAAAACCCGAAAAATTAATTCCGCAAATATAGTGATGAAATATTATTAAATATTATTAAAAATAATAACGCAATAAATTTTATTATTACCTAAAATATTAACCACATTAATAACAGCAATAATATCACCACCAATATCAGCAATGATAAAATTATTATCATTGTGGTGGTGTATTGCACCTCTACGTATAATGAATAAAATTTAAATGTTTCTGCTGGGTTACCTCACCAACGTTTCTATCATCTTAACAATTTGCCACACAGAAGCCTGAAGCACTTACAATCCTTTCGTTCAAACTCCTAACATAATCTCGTTAGCACCATCTTCATCGTTTGTATTATCATTGCTATCATATTATCCTTCTTGTTATTATTATTATTATCGTTATTATTAGTAATGTTATTATTATTGTTTTTGTTATTATTTTTATTGATGTTGTTGTTTCTAGCAATACCATCGCTGTTCACATAATCCACCAATGCTGTAGATTATTTTCGCGATTGCATACGCGTGTGTTTGTGTACGCTTAACTCGAAAAACTTTTGCTGTGTTGTGTTACTTTTTAATTTACAACAACACAACAACAAAACAACGTTGTTTAAAAGTGGAATTTAAAACAATTGAATGTTGCTAAAAATAATTTCATTCTCTCTTCTTAAAATAATCACTAACAAAGCGGATTACAAGCTGCGTAGGAGATGGAGAGTCATCCTTCCTCTTGAGAGGATGAAGATGTTGAATAGGAAAAAATTATTGCGCTCAAAAATGCAAAACATGAAACGCGCGTCTCAAAGTAATTCATCAACAACTGAAACAACTGAAACACAATATAAAATTTTTTTTTTGAGAAAAAAAAACCTTTTGAATGTGATATGTAAATGATATGCAAATCAAATGTAGTCAGTAATGAACATTATGGTGTGCAAGAGTTTTGTAAAGGGTTTGTGAGTGTTAATAAAAAAGTTTTATATATAAACTAACGTGATACATAACAGTGGTCCACCCTTCCATGGTTATGCATTGGAAGACGGTCAACATGGACAGCCCGAAGTTGTTGAAGTTTGTTATGCCATCATTGAGACCCTTCCAACTCTCCAGCCTCTTCTCGCACGTGTAACCTTCCGGACATTCAAATCCCCTGCCGCATGGATGCATTTCATCGTCGTCAAAGAGCTCGGAGTCTGCAAGTTAGCAAGTCGTTGTTTGTTCTGATGACGTTTCAATCACTTATTTTAAACACATTGACAGTTCAAATGACAAATTTTCAAACAAAACAACAACAATGATTCCGAACACAACAAGAAAGACGACGACGATGACATAACTATACCGACCATCTTCAATGGAATAACAAGTTTTGTTGAGTTCGCCGCAGAACAACTCCAAACCAACAATAGCATACACGATGATGACGAACAGGACCAGCAAGGCAATGTGGAAGAGAGGCACCATGGCTTTCAGGATGGAGTTCAAAACCACCTGAAGACCTTAGGAGGGAATTGAATTTCATTGATACATTGTTAAGCAACTTTTCTTGAACTATAATTCAACATTGAGTCAACATTTTATTACTAGTTAAATATTTAACAATATATCTTACATTTTTTAAGTTTTTAAAAAGTTCTTATATGATGAAATTTTCGTATGTAAGCAAGTTTTTTTTGCCATGCATCTTTAATTGAGCAGTGCTATAGAAAGGTTATTTCGTCCATTCAGATGTCATTCATTCACCTCGATGCCTATAATGCAAGTTCTCTCAACAGGCACGCCTCTTTTGGTTTTAATTGAACATTTCATCCACAGCTTCATTTACTTTCGTGAATTCAACGTCGTGCATTCAACAACAAAAGTTTAAAAATGCAAATTATAAGAATTACTAAAAACAAAATTTTTACTTCTGGCGATGAATTTTAGAAAACAAAATTAATTATAGTATTCTTCATTTAAATTTTTGAACACGTGAAATAAAATAACAACGAATTAATTTATTAAAAATATTCATCAATAAAAGGATGACACAAATCAAATCAACTGTTTTTGATAAATTCAAAAAACCTGGCTCTAAAATCTTGTCTCATTTTTCAACTCACAAAATTATTTAGTTGTTGTTGTTGTTGTTATGATAAGCACAACAAATGGAATATAACTTTTGAATTCACTAAACTGAACAACTCAACAACAACATATAACAGTTACTAAATCTTACACAGTTTACATGCAAACTGAATAAAGATTGATCATATCACAACAGGCCACAAACTTGGAACTCCAGAGACCAGTTTGAGAGGTCTGAGAACACGGAATGCCCGCAATGCCTTCACGTCGAAGCCACCGTGTGCGTAGTTGTTCAATATGACACTCATCGCACTGGAATTATTCAAAAATTATTTTATAACTTTTTATTTATTTTTCACTCTTTTTTTCGTGAAATTCATGTAATCTTTCAAAATAACTGTCCGACAAAAGATTGGCAGTTGTAGGTCGTAAATGAAAATTGCTTATGAAAAATTTGTCTTGCTGTTGATTCTAGTGTGATTCCTTGTGTGCTTTTAATATTATTTCGTGAAATGAATTTTGAAATTGTACAACTGACTGTCAGAAAAAATATTAACAATATTTGCTTCAATCGATAATGGAGGTAATATATAATTCAGGTTTGTATTATATTAACCCGCGTGAAAAAAATTAGGTGAACTCTACAAACTCAGTTGCTCTGCTTGCGAATAATGTTACTGTAAATAAATACGTTGTGAAGCATTTCAGCCATAACATCATAGCAGATGCTGATCACTTTGTACACTGTCGCGTTTTTTAATAGGTCCAAATTAATATGAATTATAACACTAAGAATCGAAAAGTCACGAACCCGATGACGACGATGACAAAATCCAGAAAGTTCCAGCCGCTCCTCAGATAGGCACCTGGATGCAGCAGGAACCCGAATGCAATTATCTTCAGTATGGCCTCCCCCGTGAACACGACCAGGAACACGTACTCAAATGTTTCCTGCACGTTTGATTGAATGAACAAATGAATGAACGAATGAATGATGCATTCATTGAATGGTCGTTAAAAAACACTTGATTTACATTCACACCAATCAAACTGGACAAATAAATAATCGAAAGATCAGTTGATTTGTGGCAGATTGCGATATTATTGCAGCAAGTGCGGATATGATGTGTAATAGATTTGCTTCATAAAACTTTATGAATGTTGTTAGTAAATTATTTTATAGCATGTTTACGGTCAATAGCGTATTTTATGGCAAACAAAAGCGCTTCTGATATCATCCTCTATAAAGCAAACACATTGTTACAGTCGTATTTTGAAGATGCATTTTGATGAGTTAAGTTAAATTTGATCCAAGTGAGAGCCTGAAATACTCTGCTCTTGCTTGTTGTTGGCTTCATAATTTCAACCAATCACATGTTTTTGTCAATAAATCCAGAAAACATTTACTGCTGCATGCCTCATTTAACAAATGAAACCGTAGAATAACAAAGGAAGATTTTGTTGTTTTGTGTCGCTCAGCATCAATATTTGCATAGAGATGCATTAATCATCAAGCATCCGTACAGCACACGTAGTGTTGTTATTACAAATGAATGAATGTTTGCACCGCCAAACACGTGTGCATGTGCGTGCATGTATGATCATGTATGTGCATGTATGATCATGTGCATGTGTGTGTATAGTGTATGAATGTGCATGTGTAAGTATGTATGTGCATGTCTGTATGTATATGTATGTATATGTATGTGCATGTGTGTGTTTCTGTGTGTGTATGTTCGTGTGTGTATGATCGTGTGTATGTATGTCTGTGCATGTGTGTGCGCGAGAGTGTACAAACATTTGCTTGTTTCCTAATTAACGGATGTAATGTTGTTTGTAGAAGCAGCTTGTGAACGCCGATAAAATGCTTGAACATATTCACGTCTGAATTTTTCATTCAGTTCTTATTCAAATATCCGCTACATGTAAAAAAATATTAACATAATTTCTAAACATGTTTCACAGATGTTGTTCATTTGTCTTACGTACGGTCATCATTTATAAATACAAAAAGTATGAATGAGATGTTGATGTGAGCAAGTAGAATTAATATTCATGAGCTGGTGATGGTAGGCCACATAATTTGCATAATCGTCCTCCCTTTGCTTCTTGATTCAACATTCCAAAATATGATTATTTCGATCAACACGTGCAATTAAAAAGGCTTTCGTAGCAATTTGATGAAAAATACTTTCAATCTTATTTGTTGATTATTTTCAGAGACTCAATACAACGCACAAAACAACTGCTAATGTCCGATTCACATTAGCAGTTATGTCCCATTCACATCATTCGCACTTTATAGCGGTGCAAACTCAAGCAAGCTTTGTCCCATTCGCTATCCAAAATTTTTATTGAAACGTTCAACGTTTCATGTCAACGCAAATTATTTTAAATGTGGTGAAACTTAAATGTGAAAAATAGACTTAAATTAAAGAACAAATCTCATTTGAAAAAATTTTTGCTTGCCCAAACAACAGTGTACACGCATGTAATTATTGATGTATGCATATTATTTGCGTTAAATTACAATAGCAGATAAGCTCATGAATAAATAAATGTTTCTAAATTTTATATAAAATAAAACAAATCTGAAAAAATGGACAGTTGAAAATTAATCAGTGAAATATTCATGAAAATGCGAAAATGTAGAACTTGTCATTGTTGAAATTTTGAAATAAATTAAATATGGCGAGTTTGTAAGCAATTAGTACATTACCACGGATTAAAGAACGGGACAAAAAATGTTGTCGACCAACCAGGAAGTCGTTTATGCTGTTGGAGTCTGAGCCGGAGAATGGAGTGTAGATGGCCAGGGCCACGCAGTTCGCAAAGATGGTCAACAATATGAAGTATTCAAAAAGTCTGAAAATTATTTCAAATTATTAAAAGTAGTGGGAAATTTATTATCGACAACCGCTGCTTCAACAGCTTAAATAAAAATTAAGAAAACTGAAACAACATGACATAACGGTCGCAAACACAACACATAATTTTGAAAAAGTATCTACAAAGAAGAATAAAAAGAATCAATCTCACTTGTAATCACAAATACGTATGCATAATTTTCGGACAGGGTTGGTTAGTGTCAGGCAAAAGAGCGCTCGGGGCGGCTTGATGTTAGCGTTTAGGTTGGGCTTCCGAGGTGGTGGTCGGGGTGGACGAGGTGTGGTGGTGTGGCCGGCTGCAGCTCCACCCGCCTGCTGTAGTCGCTGTTGCTGTTCGATTGCGTTGAGCATGTTGTCGTCAGTTAACCAATCAGGTGGTCGGTTGATAGACGTGCATCGTGATATGTTGCTTGGCCGTCGTAAGGTCACTCCATTTGGAGCAACACTGAGGAGGTTGTTGTTGTCGTTGTTGAGAAGCGGTTGTGATTCGGGCTGCTCGCTGTTTAACGTGCGGTTGCTTGACGATCGGACGGTAAGAAGAGGTAAAGCTGGTTTCGCTCCTTCGTTGTTTGCTAGCTGCTGACAAGAAGTATTAATTTGCTTAAATTTTTGTAAATCGTTGTAACTGCTGGACGCAATTTGTTTTAATTCTACGCAATCAGCAAATGATAGCCTCCTAACACGTTGCTGACTGCTTGGTGGCTGTGGTACTGACAGTTGGTAGTTGCTGTTTCGACTGTTTCTTGCGCTGTCGACGTCGTCGCTGCAATAGTTGCTGCTCGCACTGCTGTGGAACGATTTGACGCTTCTTCGATCAGTTACATCGACAGCCGACAGATAAGGAGTTCCCTTGTATATCTGATGACCTGACGGTGCTTTGCTCTGATTGGATTGCTCTTCAAGGGGTAAATTATCATTTCAAAATTTAAATAAGTTTCATTTAAATGTCAAAATATTCCTGTTTGATTAAAATTTGTCAAAAATTTGTAATAATATTAAAATTATTTTTGTAATCAAATTTTGCATTTAAATGCGGAAGATTAACAGGAAATTAATTACAATTTTTCTTCCGTTGTCAATGTAAAAATGCCATGACGTGCATTCGATTCTTTCATTTCAAACATTTTCATATACATAAATGTGTATATATATATATATATATATATATATATATATATATATATATATATATATATATATATACAATATTCTATAAATATCGTTTGTAAACGAACTACACACATATTAACGCCAAACATTCGGTAGAATTTATAGAATATTGTAAATATATATATAAATATATGTATATATATATATATATATATATATATATATATATATATGTTGGTAATAGACCATAATTTTTACAATATTCTATAAATTCTACCGAATGTTTGACGTTAATATGTTTGTGGTTTGTTTAATTACCTTCTTTTTAAACGAACTACAAACATATTAACGCCAAACATTCGGTAGAATTTATAGAATATTGTAAATATATATATATATATATATATATATATATATATATATATATATGAAATCTAATTAAATTTAGAATTTATATAGCGCCAATTATAATTGCTTCTCATCATCAGCGCTCTCCTCACATGAATTGCTAATAGTTAAGGGATAACATGTTGAAAGCAAAGCCATCATCGGTGGAGATCACAAGGAGTTACGTAGTCAAAAATGAAGTCAGAAATTGAAGAACATAGAATGGGATGATGCCAGATATTTAGGATGATGTTGAATGGTTTCTGTTTTTGAATGTAAAACTTATAAACCATTCTTATTATTCATAAATAAAGTTAGCGTTAGAATATTTTAACATTATTCTTAATTTAAAAAGATGCGATTACATGAAAGTGTATACAATTTGTAAGTAATTTGTAAGAACCAATAAAATATATAATTTGAAAATAACTAAAAATATTTATATAGAACTTACATTTTACGTTTTATTGAAAAGAATCAAAAGTTGATTTACATTACATTTACATGACGCATGAAAAATACCATACATAAATATAAACAAATTTTTTATTACAACAACACAAGCAAACTCTCAATCCGAACAACATGAAGAAGATAAATCTGCTCGTATTCATCATCATTTTGTATCTCGCAACTACGAACAAAGTCTGATACAGCCAACAATAATGTCAGTGTTCTAAGCTATGAAGATTTTTTTCTAAGGAGCAATAAATAAGGAACAGCTTTCTTTATTATTTACTGGTGCACCATTTGTCACTCTCCAGTAAATGATATTTTAAGTCGTATATTTTATTTACAGTTGTTTAATGTATTTAATGTTTTAATGTTTAACATGTTTTAAATTCTAAATTTCGTTTCACAAAATCAATAATTGTTTAGAAAATAAATAAGATATACCTTTATTTAGCTTCGAACTCATTTCGAACTGAATAGTTTTTAAAACATCTGAGTAGGTTTGTGGTAGGTTTCAATGTGGTTTTACTGGTGTTATCCTAGGTACGTTTCTCAACGAATATATTTTTTGCTTCTTTTCAAAATTGGTCCACATGTTTCCAGGGTTAAGCATCAAGTAATAAAAAATTTTTCAACTCAACTTGAACAATTTGGGAATTTTTCATCAGCATCTGTCAAAGGGACTTACTTATTAACTATGTGTTAATACAACAATAGCAATTGATGAAATAGCTTATTTACGACTCTTATCTGCCATTTAATCAATATTTCATATATTTTATTACTTATTTTTGACAATTCATATTTTAAATACTTTATTCTTAAATTCCTTTCTAAGGAACGTTCATTATTAAGATCAATCAAACTAACATCATCAAACGTTCTGCGACATTATTCTTTTTCTACATACAAATTTTCATACACTTATTTTTTTTATATAGATGAATCAACATTAAAGTACATAATCCCATGTATCCATGAAGAGATGAGCTGTACAAAACATTGCGATGAAGTTTAAGGCAGTGCATCACAACTGATAGATAGCTAGATAGATAGATGTATGGATGATCAAGTGAACAGCCGGTTTCTCATACACGAACGTCTCGCTATACGACACACTCGCACTACAACAACTGCACGTGTAGACACGAGCAATGAAACATATTTGCAACTAGTGCGTCTATACAAGGTACATGCATGTGATGTGTAGAGTTATGTTTGTCAGGTGGCCAGTCATCAGATGAAATTGTATATGTATCTTCAGATGAGATTGTATATGTATGTATCTTCAGATGAGATTGTATATGTATCATCATATATATGTATATATTATTATTATTATTATTATTAATGAAACATTTATAAGCGCTAATTAAAATCAAAAAGTTCTCAAAAGCGCTATCTATAATCAAACTGAGTCAAAAAAGAAAAAAAGTACAGTCAATGGCAGTAGTAACAAACAAATAATTATTCACTTAACAACAAAATCAAAGCGAAAATAAGTAAGTTTTAAGTTTCTTTTTAAAATCATCAAGTTTCAAATCTTTAGTTCTAAAAAATCTCGGTAAGCTGTTCCAAACCATTGGTTCAGACACTGCAAAATCTCTTGATGCTATCTGCAGATTGACATCAGGTACAACCAGCAAAATGCCATCATCTGATCTAAGGTTCATACCACTCATCATTATAGACTTTTCTTTTATTTTATCTATCAAATAACTTGGTAACAAGCCATGCACAGTTTTATACATTAAAATACATATTTTATATTTAATTCTTTTCTTTATAGTAAGCCAATGAAGGCTCTTAAGAATTGGAGTAACATAGTTAAATTTGAGACCTCCAACAATCAATTTGGCTGCTCTATTCAGAATAGATATTGAATTGCAGAAATAGACCTATCTGGCAAACCGTAAAACAGACCATTATATATATATATATATATATATATATATATATCATTATATATTTATATATATATATATATATATTTTTGTTTGTGTGTGTGTGTGTTATTCAGCATATATATATATATATATATATATATATATATATATATATATATATATATATATATATATATATATATATATATATATAATTTTAAATAGCATGGTCAAAATGTAACGTTTAGATTCCGGAAGAGTTCATGTATTAGTCAATTATACAACGTATAAAGCTTAAATACGCTCATTTACAATTTCATTCTAAAATGAACATCGTATTAATGTAACGAGAAATAAGAGAGTTATAACGGTAGAAAGTGCATTTGATGCAAGTCTTATATTAATGAGATTATATTATATTTATAGAATCATATTGTTTCTATAAAATACTCTGCTTATTGCAACTTTGCCAATTATGTAAATAAATATATGAATGCACATAATTTACCAAATCCTCCTTAATCCAATTATTTATAGACAACTTTGTTGTGTCGGAAGGAATAGGAATAGACTCCGTAATAATCTCCACCTTGAATTAAGTTGAATCACACCAGCGGCCAACAAGAGATTAAAAAATTTCTTTGAAATGTACGATCAACTAGAATTTAATTAATTTATTTTCATTTTTATTCAATTCTATTTTTAGTAATCAATGTTTTATTTGTTGCCGTGTGAAAGCCTGAAACACTTCAAAAGTTGTACACTTCACTTTATTCAAAATTCTTTTTTATTCTATAGCTTTTGTATCGACTCGACAAACTATTAGATCATTTTTACTGCATAATTTTTGCAAAGATTTTTAATTGTAAACAAGCTCAAAGTTCACATTGTTATTAAAAAAAGTTTTACATATTATAACTTAATAATAAATGAACCAAATTTACATGTATGTCCAAAATCAATCAACAGTTCTTTCTATATAAAACTGTCGATAAATGCCTAATAAATTTTCTAATAATTTTCAAAATAAACTTCTAATTATTAAAAATGTGGAACGATTTTTGGACAGCTACTTGCATTGATAACCATCTTCTTTTGTCTGACTTAAAAAAAGAACACATTGTACGTAACGTGCAACACCATACAGTTCTGCTTTAAACACAAGCCTCAAATTCGTTCCAAGCTTCCATGTATCCTTTGATAACAACTTTGTAAAGCTTTCATTGACAACAGTAAAACAAAATTACCCCATCTTGCTCTCTCCAATCAACACTTTGCTATAGAGTATACATCACATATATAATTCATTATTTTTTATTTGAAACTTTCAAACAAGGTTTGATTATTATTAATTGTGGTGTTGGTGCTTATATTATGAGAGAACTGAGTAATAATTTAAATTGTATTGTTCAATTCCTCTAATTAATTTCTTATTATAAAACAGAAAATATAAATTATTGATAAAAGTTTGATTTATTTATTTTATAATGATATGAATAACTGAAATATTGATTTAACATTTTGAAAAATTTAACCTAAACATCATAATTATGATGTTTCCCTTGCTCTTCTTAGCAATGTACTAATTTTGGTTTGAATTATGGATTCACATTGATTTCATACTAGAATGTGTGTGTATGTTTATGTTTGTATATATTGTTCTATATATATTGTTTGTATAAAGTTCTGCGTTTGTATATATATATATATATAAATATATATATATATATATACATATATATATATATATATAATGTATAGTTTTAGACAAAATTTAGTTAAGACACTGGCACAAGTAAGTTCTTTACTTTTTGTGTCTTTAATGAAAAAAAAACTCTCTCTCTCTATATATATATGTATGTGTGTGGATGTGCGTGTGTGCGCGTGTGAGTGTGTGAAATTGAAAAAATATATAAACACGGTTCTTTTCGAACCATTCCTAAAATTTACACCTATATGTTGATAGAGGGAGAGATGGAGAGAAGAGAACCTGAAAAGTTGGAAATAAAAGAGAAAGGGAGTTGAGATAGTAATGAGAAAAAAAGAGAGAGAAAGGAGAGAGAGAAAGGAGAGAGAGTCAGAGAGAGAATATGAAGAAGCACGTTTGGACAGGTGATAGAGAAAATATTTCACATGTTCGTTCATATGAAATGTGTTGCTCCGACGGTTAGGTAGGTTAGCAGGATGTTATACAATGCTGTTAATATGTTGCGTGTATCTTTATATACAGTCTCCTTTATTGCTGTTGTTTATGTAGTTGTACGTGTTGTTACGTGTGGTTGTTTGTT